TGAAGTGAACTCCCTGCAGGCTTTAGGCATAGGTGGCAGAGACATTAGCCATGGCACTAATTGACCTTCCTTGTGCATCCATCCCATTTCAAGAAGATCAGGTTGTGGCAGGTGAGCTTGGTTCCAGATTGTCGCTTGATATTTTGAACACATGATGTGAAACTTCACTGCACCTGAGGTTGGAGGCAGAGTCTCTTGTGGACGACCTTTGCAAAACAACTTCACTCTTGCTTTGTTGCATGTATCAACCTCAGGCACACCATACATCTTACAAATGAATTTCTCTGTTGAATTCACAATATCTTCTGTGAGATGGCCCTTCCCAAGGCCAGTAAGATCGGTGTGATGTTGCTCAAACACCTGCCAGGCTGTTTTCTTTCCGTGACCGCTGAACTGAGACACACTATCACAGCCAGTGATGGCATGGAAGAGAAGCAGTGTGTCCACTTGATCATCAGAGAGTAACTTGCGAATGTCATGTACTGGAAAATACTTTGGATCCTTTGATGTCCCGGCTTTCATGTAGAGATGGGTACATCCAATTCTGTCATGATGTGCTAGAAGTAGAAGAAGCACGTCTGTGTCACGCACTGACACGACTATTGTGTCCATAGGAGCCTGGATGCAGTGCAAAATCAGTCGTGTATCATCCTCCTCATGGTCAGCACTCAGAGAGGAGATTTCAAGTGCTGGATCTGATGACTTGACAGTGGTCGCTTCAGCAAACCCACCTGATACTACAACCACAGGCTCATATTCTGGGCTGTGTTCTATCAGATGGGTTGAGAGTAGTCGAGCGAGATCTACTTTGTTCTCTTCCAGTGCCATGAAGCTCGACCAGTCTGCTGGAAGTGGAACAGAGTCATTCACGATCTCTCTGCGTACTGGTCGGTGGCGCTGTTTACGCTTCTTTCTTGTGCCTGTTTTGATGGATTTGTCATGGTACCTGTCGCAGACTACATCAACCCTCTGGTACTTCTCTGCCATCTTCAACACTGTGTCAGCAAACTTGTTGGCATAGTTGCAGAATGTTGTGATGTCAGGCGGCTTCCCAAGTGCCATTACAAGTGCTTGGCCATCAATAAGAAAGTAGCTGGGTTCCTGAAGGGGCACATCTGCAGGGGTTTGGATATGTTTTGTCAGTATATTTGCTAAAACAGATTTGTTGGTGGAATGTAGACTGCCGTTAGTTGCGGCCAGAGATGGCGGGATGGGTTGATGAGTTCATGCTGGAGAATATTTTCCAGGTCTACCTTGCGACCTGCTCTGTAAGCTGTGATGAGCCTTTGTAAAATCTGCCTGTCCACTTTGATGATGTTTTGCTTGTTCTTCGAAAGTTGCACGACTTCATACAAAGAGGCAAATGTTTTGGCTTTGTTCTTTCGAATGGGTGACTTCAGATCCAAGTGCTGGTCACTATCTGGAGGTTCACACAGACGTTTGTCCACAAACACTTCTATTTGTGCCTGTCCAAGGTGTTCTGCACCAAGCAGAGATTGTTGAATCTGGGGTGTGACCACATCCTAGCTAATCCTAGCAACTAGCTGGCTAAAATTAGCTAGTTAGGCTTCTTTTAGTGATCAAAAATGCTAATATACTGCAATTATTTAAACTAGATAGATAGATAGATAGATAGATAGATAGATAGATAGAAACGTTATTGATCCCCTTGGGATGTTTATGAAAACATGTCACATTATGAAAATATACACTGGACATGACTTTACCTGTTAGCTGTCTTATGTTTCCGATCAGCCGTTCTGAGAAGTGTAAGAAAGGCTAAGCTTGGTGGGGTGATATTGGGGAGGGCAAAGGTTGGGGAGTGCATTACAGCACATTTGACACATTTTACCTCAAAACAAAATACAAACTAAGTAAAAGTAGCCTGATAATATTAATAATAATAACTTAATTATTAATTAGTTAATAATAGTTCATAGTTAAAAACAACTATTTTTGCAATATCTAAGCAGTTTCTTCACATTACATCTCAAATCTGAATATGGCATTTAATTGCCCATGTAGGAAAACTTACAAAAGCACATTTAATTCATGTTTGTACCTTGTTTAGTCAAAAAGATATACTAGAAAAAATAGATTTCAGCACTGGGGTGGCGGCCATTTTGAATTTCTCAATTTGTGAGGCATTTTGGGACCCCATTTTTGACCCTTCATATACAGCAGATTTGTATTTAGCACCCCACTTAATACCCCTAGAAAGTACCCCTTAATACCCCTAAGAAATAATGTATAATATATTGTATAATATAAATAATCACAAAATGCCTCCAGCACTTTAAATAAGCACATTTTCAGAAATTCTGCCTAGACTATGGTAAGGAGGGGGTTCTCAAACTTTTACATGCCAAGCCCCCCCAAACAGCATTAAATAATGGCCGGGTTTCCCCTTTTACAAAATGTCAAAATTAGATTTTTGATGATGCACTTTTACTTCCTCTATTGTAGGCTTTATACCAAAAGTTGTAA